TAAACAGATTCCTCCCCTTCCATCAGCTTTTTCACTCCCCCTCCCCCTCCTCCTGCTGCCCACCAAGATGAGCTGCTTCAGAATGCCTAAAGGTCTGGAGGGGCAGAAGCGCCTCCAGCATCCCCACACCACTCCTGCGTTCGGAATCCCAGGCCAGGGCCACTCTCACACCAACCTGCCAGGAAATTTTGTCCTTCTCCTCCTCCTCGCATGGGTTAAATGCGCGGCTGTGCGCCGCACAAAAGAGTTGGTACCCAGAGGAGGACGGAGGACTGCGTTTAGGGCTTTAAGTACTTTTGCCCACGTCAGCTCCTGGTCACGTGACGGCCGCCTTACCAGTAAGCTTGGATTCCCAGTTTCCACTCCCACCTAGAGCCCCTTCCTTTATTCTCACGCCCACTACATCAGGTCCTGTCACTCATTCTGCTTTTGTAGTGTAACAGGTCAAAAGGAGTCCCTTTTCCTTGTAAGAATTTGCCTATTTTTGGTTAGTTGGGGAGGCCCTGTATCTCCAGGGAGAGCTGAAAATTTATTATTTTTAATTGGGGAATAGTCTCACCTTTTCCTGCGCTACTGGACACTTCCCTGGCTCCATCTCCAACCTTACAGCCCCTACATAGTTAACACCATTACCTTTAAAATTGAATCCTTGCTGCAATATGGATAAAGAGCAGGGGTGTCAGAAAGGAGACAAGGAAGAGAGGTGAGGTCTGTAGTGGAATATTCCTGATTTTTTTAAAAAAGCCATCACGATGCTTGATTTCTCTGTAGAAAACAACAACAAAAAAGAATGCATGTTCTTTGTAAATTTTTTTTCCCATTTTCATTGTAAGACATTATTAATTGTGGTTTATGTTTACCAAATCAAAAATGAATTCTGACAAATAGAAAATAGTTATTAGCACTTGTTAAAGTACTTGAACATCTAAAAATATTTTCTTGTCACAAAATAAGCACATTTGTATGTTGATTCATGGAAAAATATTTATTTTGGACAAATGATAATGCTACTTTTTCACTTTCTGGAACAGATTTTCAGGTGAACAAATAAATTATCTTGTCTTGTTCTGCTAGAGAAGGGTATTTATTTAGCATTTCTAAATGAATGCAGACTTCTGTGTGAACCTCCTGCAATCTGTTGGCTGTAATCATGATTGTTGAGAACACCAGCTCCTGGTCAGTTCGGGGTAAGAAGAAGAGCATCAGGGTTGAGACAATTAAGGGCCTTCAGAGTGCAGGGTGATCAAATTCTCATTGCCCTATTTAGAGAGGTGGAATGAGCTGCCTTGCTGTGCCGCCATGTCCCAGAGCCTTTCAGCCTCTGCACTCACACACCTGAATCTGTTGCTTCTAAATATGCACATGGACAGGTAGCCAAGGCGGCGACCAGAATAAAGACTTTTGGCTCCTATGCTCTCTCAGAAATCTACAAGGACAACTGAGGAATAAATAGAACAGACTGCCATTTTCACCTGCCATTGCAGCTGAGGATTTTCATGAGGTCTGAAGAAATAATGGCTGGCGGGAGTGCTAGGCTTGGCTGTTGTCTGTCCTTATTCTATTTTTTTCCAAATAATTTTATTGAGAAAAAAATAGTAATGAGACAGTTTCAAACTAAATTGTAGGACAGTTTAAATAATGAACACATTGCATACATTCTTCCTAGTGGTTAATTGCTGTACAAGATGTGGACTTGATATCCTATTTACAAACACTATTAGAACACATCCCTTTGTTCATTAAGAGAATATAACTATATATCTATCCTAACACTTTTGAATACACAGATACAAAATGGACATTCATCTGTATCCCCTTTTTTGTTAAGTTCTGTTATTTGAATATTATAGATGTGTTAACTCAGCAAAATATTCTAAAAGAGTCCAGTAGTCCATAATAGTATTGGGTCTTCTGCTTCACTGGCAATGTCAGAAATTGTTGACAGCTTAACATAACACCATGGCTTTACTTCTTATACTTCGTTTTTATACTTTTCTGTTGGATGGTTAAGACCAAGGTAAAGCAGGACCTATGCAACAAGAGTTGTAGCTTTTGGGTCTGATAGAGTCAGTGAAGTCCCCTCAGGATATATCCTGAGATCCTGTACCTCAGATTGTAGAACCTTTGTCAGTGTCAGCCATGTGGATGAGTCAGAGCCATTGCTTGGCCAATGTGTTCTCTGTGAAATCCTGAGAAAATGTTTTCTCTCCATGTGACTCTCTTTAGGCACACTCTACACCATCCATCACTTTCCTCTATGGTCCCATAATCTCCTTCATCAGAAAATTTGGGACACTACTGAGTTACATGACATTACAGTACAAGTTCTCATATGTCCTGAGTCTTAATTGGTCTTGGAAGGCTAGGGCCAAATGTTGGCTTTCCTTGCAGCCCTCCTTTTTCTCTAATTTTGGTCTGCAAACTTAGGTTGTTAACCATCCAGAAGACAAGCTTATTGTTATTACCATAAAACCTAGGCTGTTAAGCTTAACCTCACTATCTGTCTGAATATCAAACATCTTAGGCATAACATGGAACAGGCAGTTTTCATCAAGTATTGATATGTTGAAATTTAAGTCCCTACAGAATATGATGAAAAAACATTTAAAAATTAGAATATATTTTAAAAATAGGCAAAAGATTTATATAATTCTTATGTTTACACATAAGTCCAAAAATCTAACCATATACAACCTTGAAGCAGGACAGTCCCACAACATTCCTTTTCCTGTCTCCTGCCTTCATTCACCACCCCCTTCTTTTTGAACAATCATCTACCTGAGAGACGGCACAGCAGCAACTGGAATGTCATGACAAGCAGCCTGTATTCAGAAGACCAGAATGACAGGCACTCCAAGCATGAAACTACAATTACAAATTGCCATCTTCAGTACAGTTGCTTAGTTCACACGTGTCAGTATATATAGTTAGTCAGGGTGAAAATCTTTGCAATTAACTGCTAGATTCAAAAATCTTCTTCAGATTGTCAGGATCATTGCCTTGCCCATCTTCTACATATAACTGTATGGCTTGTCATTGTCATGTTTCCTAGCTCTTCTCCTTTCCCTCTCTTGATTAATTAGTCCTCGATATCCTACTTTCCTTTTACTTGTATTATACCTTTCTATTTGTATTTCTTCTTTTGAGTTCTTATACTAGGCAGACAATACAATATTTACACATGTATGTCCAGTTTATTTCACTTGTGAGTATATGTTCAAGTGGCATCCTCTTCAATATAAAGGCTTCGAGTTTATCATTCTTTATAGCTGAGTAATACTCCATTGTATAAAAATACCACATTTTTTTTATCCGTTCCTCAGGTGATGGGCATCTTGGTTCTTATTCTTAATGCCCTAATGAAAATTACTCTTGACTCTCTGTGCTACTACCAAGCAGCCTGAAAGAGGTAGCCTGCTGGGTCTCTGACTTCTGGCTCCTAACTATATGTCACCAAGGAAGAGCCTAACCTTGTTGCAAGGCCTTTCAGTCCCCATCCATCTTGATGCCTTTGCAGTGAAACCTATGCTCAGGCCCAAGGAATAGTCCCCACTTGCCACACTAATTAACTGAGAATAGGTGTTTTCACTGGCCCAACAGTGTGAACCACCTCAAATTATATTAATTCACAGTGTTTTCTTGTGATTCTATATGTGGCTAAGTGTATGTGCAAGGTAATGGGTTCCATCTCTAGCAGTGCAAAAGAATTTAAAACAATACAGAATTATGTAAAGAACAAGATCTTTTTTTTGATTTTTTTCATGTCATCCATTTATTCATAGAAATCAGTCTCCTGGGGATCGCTGGCAAAGTGTCCTTCTGAGGGTCACCAACTCTGCCCACTGGGAGCCTGCAAGGTTGCAGTAACAGTGTCCTAAAGGGCTGGGCTGTTGGCTCTGGACTATGTTCCTTAGTGCAGGGCTAGGGTCCAACTGTTACCAGAATGCTTTTCAACTCATGGAAACATGGAAGCTGCATGCCCTGCAGCTCAGGATAATGGGTAAGCCCCCATTTTCCATCTTTTTCATCCGAGTAACTGCTAATGATTTCCAACTTTCTTTTTATGTGCATATTAATCCCTTCTCAGCCTTTTGGCTATGATAGAGTATAATTGTTTTTATCAGGTTATGTGCATATTAGTAAGTGAAGACATGCTATCTTAGTTACTTTTCTCATTCCTGAAACAAAAATACTCTACACCCAAAGTTAAAAGAGGAAAGGCTTTTCTCAGCTCACAGTTTGTAGAGGTTTCAGTTCATAGTCAGCTGGTTCCAAAGCAGGGTGGCAGGCCAGATGGACATCGAAGAGGCAAAACATTCCATATTGAGGCAGACAGGAAGGAAGCAAACAGCAAAAGCAACAATCATCAACAGCAGGATTGCCTTCTCTGTGTTTAATTCCACGCAGGCTGCAAGCATATTTATTGGCTCCACCCACACTCTGTAGCGCTTCTGTTATTCACACCCTTAAGCCCAGTATTACATCCTAATCCACATTCACACATCCTGATATGGTCACCTTGGCAATCCCCCTATGATCACATGAGGTTTGGAGCCCACATCTAGGTACGATCCATAGCCTATGTTTATTAATCACGTTCCAAACTGATTGAAAATAACAAAAATAAACATTGAGGTTTGTATTGTAATTACAATAAAGCTTCTAATCAACTTGAGGAATATTAACAGCTTAAAATTGAGATTTTTCTTCAGGAATATGGCATATAAACTTTGCTGGATTATATTTTTATGTTTGTCAGTCAAATTTAATAAATTCCTTCAGATATGTAATTTTTATGTAATTCTTTATTAACTTTATTGAGAAAGAAATAGCAATGGGACAGTTTCAAAACAGGTTAGTAAGACAGTTACAATAATTAATGCACTGCATATTGTTGTCTTTGTAGTAGTTATTCAGAGTACAAGATGCAGACATGATATCTTGTCTAAACACTTTTAGTATAAATCTCAGATATGTAATTCATGTTACTTGCTAGGGTTTTCTTACATACTAAATGTGACTGAAAAGCTATGTCTTCCTTTCTAAATACATAACAATTATTTCTTCTTCTTCTTCTTCTTCTTCTTCTTCTTCTTCTTCTTCTTCTTCTTCTTCTTCTTCTTCTTCTTCTTCTTC